GCGGGGCGAGGGGACCACCTGGGCGTGCGCTCTCGGCTGCGGGGCTGGTGGCGAAGACAATGGGGCCGGGCGATGGTGGGGCGCGAAGCCAAAGACACCCCCACCTGGGCGAGGGCCGCTGCGAGCCCCAGGGACGCGCTCTCCCCAGAGACTTCTGGGTTGCTTTGATTGTTCTTAGGCTCGGAGAGGCAAACAGCGCGGGAGAGCGCGGCTTCCCGATCGCCTAAGTGTATTCGCCTCGCCAACACAGCTGTGGACCCGCGCGCCTGTTTCTGTGGTTACCACACGCACCAGCCAGTCTCCTGAAGATTCTGTTAGCCCCATAGTGAAGCCTCTTCTGAGCCAGCCTCCGTCACCTTCCCTTCTCTGCTTGAAAGATACGCTCCTACTAAAACTGCTGTCCATAGGCTCGCAGCCAAAACCATTCTCCAGCCACAAGGCAGTGGCCCACTGTGAGAACTGTCCTTTGGAGCAAGGACCCTGAGATGAGAGGTCACAGAAAAACAAGAGCCCTAAAGATGAAGGCTTATTTTCCTCAAGTCTGCTTTCCCTCTAAAACCTGCCATCTCTTCACCTATCAGAAATGTATGTTGCCATCATTTAAAAAATAAAATGCTCATCTTACTAGAGTAAACCCTAAACTGCAAAGAATACTGTTCATTGTTGTAGAGAACTTTGGAAAGACAAAGTTTTAGCTAAATCATCTTTTCAAATTGATGATAAGAATTATAATCCTTATCATAAGAGATCGACAAACAAAACACAAAATCAGTTATAAGAGCTGCCATGCTGTCCTGAATATCAGGTAAAGGGTAGGTCAGAAGTGAACGAAGACCTTCACCCAAGTTGAAGGTGCCTGGTGGGTACACACTTGGGGTATGGATAGCAGGTCCCTGGTCACAGGCCCGGTACACACCAGCCTTCTTCCTGCTGATCTACCACAAATGGAGAATATTTTTGCAACCAGCCTATATCAAAGAACTGCTTTTCCTTCTGCCACTTACCCTGCATCATTTTCCTCCACAGCATTTATCACCATTATCTGACATTATTTATTTATGGTCTGTCTTCCCGCACCCAAGAAGATAAGTTCTAAGATAGCAGGGATTTGCTTGATTCACTGCAGCGACCTCAGCACCCCAACAGTGCCAGGCACGTAATGGACATTCGTGTTTGCTGGTGAAAAAGACCATCTTTACCCAAGTCATATAAAGGCCTTTGAGCTCCACAAGCAGATGCAGTGCCATATATGGAGTCCAAGCTACACACACTAGTTTGATTCAAAACAGTTCCCTATCCAGACTTCGTCCCTCAGTGACTCTTAACTCCAGGAGCTCTCACAATGGCCTAGCTCCTGGATCCTGCCCTCACAGATTGAGTTACTGGGTGGTTCTTGTTTTGTAAGCCTCATAAGTGATTCTAATGGGCAGCCACTATTGAGAAGCACTTGTTAGATGCTGCTGGTACCAAAAAAAAACTAACAGATCCAGCTCTGGCCCTCTGAAATGTTGACTAACTTTAGATGCAAAGTTATAACCACAGTAACAACTGTCTCCACTTTGTTATCAAGTGACTAAGAATGGGCTTGAAGGTGCTGGGTGGGCAGGTCACAGGTCATTAGCCACTTTTCTGTTGGGGTGAGAAGATGGCAAGGACGGACCCTGGGGACAGATAGAAAAGCTTGAAAGAATGGGTAAAGTTTGTATTAGGAAAGAGAGGGCATTGTGGGCAAGGGCAAAGGCACCTTAAGCAAATTCTGTCAAACAATTTTATCAAGGACCAATTTCTAAAAATCAGTGTTGAAGGCCCAAATACAGAAAGAACAGAAAAGCTCAGGAAAAAAAAAAAAAAGACTGGATGACAAATGCCAGCTGAAGAAGGCTAAACTTCGTCGCTAAAGTCATTTGAAGCCACAGAAGGTTTCCAAGCAGGATAGAAGAGTTTCCTGCAGTGCTGGCAGCAGAAAGAAGACAATCTGTAGATAAGAAGATCAGGAAAGGCTGGGCTTTGGTGGTGCACGCTTGTAATCCCAGCATTCAAGAGGCTGAGGCAGGAATATCATTGTGAGTTTGAGGCCTGCCTGAATTGCATTGTGAGTTCAAGGCCAGCCTGAACTATGACCTTGTCTCAAAACAACAACAGCAACAACAATAACAAATTAAAATGGAAAAGATCAGGGGGAAAGTTAATTCTACAACCTAGAAACAAGGATACAAAAGCACAAGTTAAATAGAGAATGGGAAACGAGGAATGATGACAGAATTAAGGGAAATAATATCTTCCACATGTCACATGTATCAATGGTCACCTTGCTATACTTCAACAGGGCCCAGCCTGGAAATTTTAGGAAGAAATATCATATAGCTCTCCAACACCAAGACTTAGATAAGTTCCTCCTACCTCAGTGGCCTTGAGCTGACCTGCCCCTGCACTGAAGAAAAACATGAATATTCTGAAATAACACAAATCTGTATCACTAAGGAAAACACTATACCATATATAGCAAAGTATATTCTGACTAAGGTTTCCTGAGGACTCCTGAGACAAATCTTGAGTTAATGCACTTCGCAAATGTCACCATATAAAATGAGGGTGTATGCTTACAACTCCCCACATAAATAGGCCCAGTGTCAGCAATTGGTGGGAGTTCAATAAATATCTATTAGTTGAGAAAGAAACCAAAGGGGAGAAAATAACTGAGGGAACATGAGTAGGCAAATAGACATGCACTAAGTTTTTCCCCACAAAGTAGAAATATGGACAAAACAGTTGATGGCCAGGTTATGAGGGAAGGAACTGTATATTGCTCACAGTTATGTCCCTGCCCTGAATGCTGCCTAGCATGCACGAAGCACTGTGAAAGTATATGTCCAATGGACTCATAAAAGGCTAATGTTCTAGGTGTCTTCAAAGTAGCTGCATCGCTGCTGCACCAGTGCCTTCTCCCTTGCCTGGGTACTGAACCTCCCAGGCCACTAAGAATCTGTCTTCTAAGAACATTGATATAGGATCTAAAGGAGACCATTCTATGTGTGGCTGACCTATGAACATTCATATGTTCTCCGGTACTCCAGAGAGACTATCTTCCTCTTACTGAGTGGCCCAGTGGTGAGGAAAGATTTCTTTTGCTATACATATGTAGCAGATAAGAGGAAAGACACAGAAACAGTCCCAACAGCTTTTTGGATTCTGAGTCCAGTCCTTTCCTCCATCCCAGCTGTGTTGGGCTCATTGGTTTCAATGTTCTACCCCATCACTCTATTATTCATAAGCAAATAGCCCAGCCAGCACAATAAAAGAGCACACAGAATCTATCCTGCCCTGTAAGATAGGAGAGCAAGTAAGGTTAAAGAGGAGGGATGAATTGCTACTCACTTATAGATCACCTTGGTGTACCAAGGTTTTAGATGCTTCTAACATAGGTGCCCCTAGATGCCACAACCCAGACCCTGGAGCCCCCAGAGGAAAGTTTTCATGGAACCATCTGGTATGCTGGTTTGGATGAAACCGAAAAATGGCTGGAAGGAGAATGGACAAAGAAAAAAGCACTCTTGCCCCCCTCATCCTCCCTTCAGAGTTTCTGCCACCGTTGGAGAACTGACAGGAAGTTAGGAAATCGAGAGACGGCAGTGAGTGCCCACCAGGACACCATGTAGAAGAGGATAAGTGAGGATCAGGGAGGGGGCCGAGGAGTGTAGACTAGCTGTAGATCACACTAGTGACTCAGGAGCACAAAGGGTGTTTGAGAGACAGGGACACTCACTGTACTGTTCCGAAACTATCAGAAATCCCACCTCCCCCAGCTGCTTGTCCATGGCACAGTGGTAGTCATGCTCTCAACTGCATCACACAAGTCCCCCATCACCTCACCATGTGCAATAAGGACGGCCCCCCTCATTAGGAAGTGGGGACAATGGCAGAGCTATCCCACCAGCAGGTAAGCAGAAGAAGGGAGGATGACACTGACTTCCATTTGTTACATAAACTGTTCTATGGAAATCATTTTTAGAAAGAAAATGGAAAGTCCTAACAGGCTTTTTAAATGTTTTAGACCTAATAAATGTAATAATTATGATATATGCCATGCTTATTACTTACTTTGAAATTTATGTACTATACATAAGTAAATATTAACATAGTAAATGGTAAATAAGTCCAAGAAATTAAAACTTTAAATAAGGAATTAAATTTAAAAGGGGAGTTAAAGCAAATTATTACAAAGTGTTTCATTGCATTAAGTAACACAGAAACAAAATCCTTCACTTTCAAACTGCAACATTTTCCCCCAACTCAACTGAAAATGTTTAAAACTCCAAAGAGATGGTCAAGATCTATCTAACGCATTAAATACTACCTCAGGAAATACACTAGTCTTTCTAAGGCACACAGGCTTTTCTAAATCAGCTCTGGGCTCCTTATGCAGAAGAACCAGAAGAACGCAAAGTAGAGATAAAGGCAGACCTGGCCTAGATGTTATATAACTAAGAAATTGTCCAGTCTCTTTCCTAGTTTCTTGGGAGGGAGTCTCTAGATCCCTAGAGCTTCCCACGTGATTGGAGCATCTTTATAACTTTCCCTGGGGGTCTTGGTACACACACGAGTCTCACAGTGTGTCCCTAGCAAGCTTTAGATGGGATCTGGCCATGCCAGAAAGACCAACCATGTGATTAGAGGGTGACTAGAGGGTTTTGGAGTCAAATGAATTAGAGCCACCTTCCAACCTCTAGGACAGCCAAAGACTGAG